TGGAAACCAGTATGGATTGGGTATTGCCATCGGGTGCTTTTTCCACCTTCTATTTATTTGACAAATTTCGAATTTATGATGGACTCCGGGGAAGAGTGAAAAACTCCCACATCCCAATCCCCATTGAAGCATGTGCGAGCTTTGTAATCGTAATAAAAATGCACAACATGGCACAACGCTCATCCCCAGTTCCAGCTCCTGCTCCTGGTCCTGCTCCTGGTCCTGTTTCTGGTCCTACTCCTCCGGGTGGGGGACACACAAAAGGCAGATCTAAAGGCAACTTAGAGCTTACTTAGACATGTTAACTGCTGCGAGGAGTCTTTGTCTCTACACCTCCGTAAGGAAAGGGACTGAGCGAAAGTTGCGGCGGCTACAAATTTAATGCGCTTACGATAAATTTTTATTATTCGAGCGAATGCTGCCGTTAAAATTGGATATTGAAGACCCCCACCCACCTATAGCGGGGTGGGATTCGGGTAGATAGCATGCGGGAAATTTGAATTTTCCGCCATAATCGTAACTTGTCTCGGTTGGCAGGCACTTTAAAGTCTTTACTTTTGCACTTGCACTCAGTACGTGCTTTGTTTTTCTGCCCGTTGTTTATGCCTTAATGTGGTCATAAAATGCACGAGCTGGTGGCCAGGATGGGCGCATTCCAAATGACCGCACGTTCCTGGCCAAGCTGGACTCCGGGGTTGCTTGCCCATGGGTCTTAGTAGGTCACTGGGATTTGCTATTAGCCGGGCTTACCTGGCGTATACTTAATCACCCCGAAAAACTAGTTAAACTGCTGGGGAAACTGCAAGTCGGCACGTGAGATTGATTAAATTTGTGATTTATGTTCCCTGGAATCACCCGGGAGCTCACAAAGCCACAGACACACGGAGGGCACTGTCCGAAGGACTTCAAATATAACCGTCGCTTCCTGGCACTTCACTCAAAGCTATGCTATATTCGCGCTAGTCCGGCTAGTCCTGTCTCGATCGAGGAGCGCGCGCGTGGCTATCAAGCTGGGAACTGGTTGGCCGCCGCCTTGGGAAGTGGCTTTTATAGGCTCCAACAGGCCACGAGGACTTACCGCCACAGCATTCAAAACACAACATGTTGCAGGCTGTGGTTACGACCAAAACAAACCTTCCAGAGCGTCAAGGCGCAGGCGTCGACAGGACAAAGCGAGGTCCTGGCCGGGCTTAGCAAAGTTAGGAACCGAAAGCTTTCAGAGTCGAGGATAACCCCTCCAACCTCGAACGGTTGCAAGGTAGCTCGTCCCTCCGGCGCTGTCGGTTGGTAATAATTCCTTTGACAGTTCAATTTTGGGCAGACGGCCCCAAGTGTGTTTTTTGGCGAATTGGCATCTAATTATGGGTCACCCGTCTTTGTAAAGACTGCTGGAATACCTTGCTGTGGGATCACAAATGTAGTTTAATGCTGCGATATTCTCCTTCCTTGAGCATCTGTCACCCACTTGACCATCCGGTTTGCCCAGCAATCACTCATAGCCATCCTTCTGGCGAACTTTATTAGTTTGGACACTCCTCCCCAGAAGAAAACACTCCTGACATGGGAATTAAATCTGAAGAGAGGCAGGAAGCCCTCATGTCAGGCACACAATCTCGTTTGGATGCTTGCGGTTTCCTGCGCAAATATTGGCATACAAATGTTAATTATCCGCAAAGGCGAACAAAGCTGGCAAAAGGCAAACAGTCTCTGGCACCTGGGGCGGGTTCAACGGGGCGTATGCTCGATAATTGTCGGGCATGCCAAGTCCTGTTCCCTCTCTTGTTAATATTCAATAGCTTGTATTAAATTCAAAGTGTTAACAAACTTTTGCACTTTGCATCGCCCCGGGTTGCGGACCCATTGAACACACACGCTGGCTGGCTGGCAAAAAAGGGACATCCTGGCGAGGACCAATGTCCTTCGGCGTCGCATGACGAGACAGGCCGGCCGACTGGCAGAGCGGCAGACATGTTCCAGCTCACTTGGGCAAGTATTTCATTAACCTGCCTCGTCCAGATACGCACATTGGCAGCTGCTGTCTTTGTGAAGAGCGTTAACTTGTTTTCCCGGAACATCCTTTCTGTCCTCCCCTTTGTGTGGGGCCTTACCGATGCCAGGACGAGCGTTAAATTGTGTCCAGCGACCGTTGGAGTGAGCTGGTATTTTATTATCATTTTTGTGGTAACCCCCACCCTGTCCATGGGGAAGTGCAAACTTTCAAACACTTCGGGGGCGTTCAGGGTTCAGTGAGCATTCCGCTTGCACCTGGCGGATCCCCACGTCAATGGAGTGCAGTCTGCATAAACACAATATGCAACTTAGCAACTTTCGAAATTAAATGCCAATTGCAAAAAAGCAATATGCGACACAGGAAAACCAAGGCAACCATCGCAATCAAAGAGCGCTCTTCCGCCCACGGTCACAGCTGCCCTCGGGCAGAATGGTAAACTATTTTGAATGGTAAACATGCGCATGACATAATTCCTTAATTACCAAAGTTGTCAGACGCACTTAAAAGTGAGTTACAATTACAATTTGCCTCAACAATTGTCTGTTGCATGCTGCAGGTTGTGGAACGATAGTTCGGAATCCGCCACCTGCGGAGCGACTCAAACGTGTGCCCGACATGGCCATTAGGATGCAAGAACGTTGATGTTAGATACTTGTATTAAGGGGTCCTTGGAGTGTTCGCACAAAGGATTGTGACCTTTTCAGTTTAGTTTTTAAATGACTAGCAACCCAGCGTTTTAATAAAAGCTTTACATTTTCAGGTAATTTTTAAACAGAATCAGCTGGAGTTATTTCTCTTATTGATTGTAGGGCCCCATTTTGTAGAAATTAATTGTAAGTATACATTATTTTGTAAGTCTTTGAGCTGTAGATCCTCCAGTCTGAATTCTTGGCTCTATTAAGTTAATTTTTTGATCATATCTTTTCGATCAAAGCTATGTATATTTTAGTTACTCAATGCAGTCATTATTTCCGACCCTCTAAATTACAATATAGCAGCTGAGACGATATATTCATATCCTCCTTTTTTTTTCTTGACTAGCGAACCAATTTTCAAAATCGTAACCTGCCTTAAGCACCAAACAAACCTTATAAAAATACCATAAAAAATATAAATATCATTTACTTTTTCACCAAAAATATTATTAAAAATTAAGATAACGCAAAAGCTTTAAAATTAAACTAACGAGCATGATTCACAAGATACAATCAAAAATATATGGTCTTATAAAGATTCTTTCAGTTTCAGTGACTATTTCTGTAACATTTAAATTTCAAACCTTTTTTAAAAGACATTCAATGCTGCATGAAATATATCATAACAATAAATGAATATACCTTCTCTATCTGCTGACCTAATATTTAATAATATTCCCAAGTAAAAGGGCTGCACATTTTTATCTCTCTGTCACAACACTTTTTATAATAAAGTTTGTGTTTCTGATATAAAAGAAATACAAAAATATTTAGGAAGTGGAAGAAATGGTGGCTTGCCCTCACAAAAAGTTCTTAAGGTCTTCGGTTTCTACTAGCCACCAGGAGTCAAGTCGAAGAGTAATAAATAAAGTAAATAAATAAGTAGAGTACCCTTCGCTGATAGGTGGCGAGCAGATCAGACATTCCCTGTCAATTTGGGCAAACGAGCCAAAGACCTGTCAGCTCCAGAGGTGATTCGAGTGGGCGGCCCAAATCCTGGCGGAGGAGAGTCCGCCCTAGTGCCCAGCAAGGAGTATCGTGCCGCGTTGCCTGCCACCAAACACCAGTCCTGACACACCAACCATGCCACAGCCTAGCTTCAACCGCCTTCGCCCTTGGTACTTGTCGTGAAATTTTCTATTTGCAGATGCGCGCGATGCATTTCCTTTGCCTTTCCCAATGTGGTTGATGCTTTTGCTGCTGCTGCTGCTACTGGTTGTGTTGTCATTTCAATTTCAATTTGCTGACGGAAACTTGAGCGTAGCCCCTGACAACGCAGCCGAAGTTTCGGCATCGCCCTGGCCACCAATTAGTGCCAGACCCAGAGCCGGAGTCAGAGCCATCCGGGGAGCACAACCTTCGAAAGTGTAACAAAATTCCAAGGAATTGTCGGGTCGCCAAGTGGAGGGCCAAACGGCACGGCAGCACGGATTTAATTAAAATGTTTTCCACGTGCGTAAATCCCGCTCTAATTGTTTCACATCACATCCAGCACTCGGCGGCAAGTCGGCGGGCGGTGCGCATCATTTCGCTCACAATAAACTTTAATAATGGCCCGAAATCATGGCCAGGTATATACGCCACAACATGTTATTAAAACCGGGATATCACAGGCCGCCGCAAAAATTTGTCAAATTTAATTTACACCTGTTTAGAAGTATGCAAATATCCGCCCCCCGAGGCGGGTTTGTGTGGCATCAACGGTCAGGGCCTTTCAAATCCTCGCCAAAATGCCAGCGAGCAAAACACGGAGGACAACAATTTAGCTGCAGTCATAAACATTCGCTCCTGGGAAAAAAGGAAAGCGGAAAAAGGGAAAACAAAACGGAAAAAATGGGAAGGAAGGAGAGCTGAAGCCAGAGGATGTGTTGCGGATGATTGCAGCAAATTGCCAACACAGTTGTTGACTTTCGACCATGTGCGTGTCCGTGAGCGCTTGTGCTCGGTCCTTGGCCACTTACCACTGGCATTCAAATTGCAGCTTTTCCAGCTTTTCCCAGTGCAGCTAGCCTTCGGTCTTGACTCTTTTTGCTCGGCCGCCATGCCATGGATTGATAGCTATACTAACTTTGATTTATTACCAGCTGGAAACACTCACACACACACACGGGGGACTGATACGGGTCTGCCAAACTCTGTCGCTTCTGGGCACTTGGCCAGGATCGGAGCTCGACAGTAGCAAGTCCTCTTAATAAACTATCAATGTCAACGGCAAACCGGATGGCTCTAATTACAGCAACATGGAGCAGCATGCCAGGAGCATTATGCAACCAGAGCTAATCAGCAGACCGGCTTGATATACTTGTCAGTGCTTGTGTCCCTGCACTTGACATCGAAAATTGGCGTTTATTGGATGCGGATATTGAGTTCGGGAAGTTACGCACGCTCCTTGACGTTAGAGCTGACTGACGTGGCCCAGGAAGAGGGTGCTCTGCGTGTCCTTGATGGCAAAGAAGAATGGGTGATCCGCCGTGAACTCAAAGATCTCCTCGCCCACCAACAGGGATTCCAGCTCCGCCTTGATAACTGCGGGTAAAGATGAATCAATCTGCCGGGCAGTTCCTTCTCTGTACTTTTTGGTGGTAAACTTACAAGTGGCCCCGCTGGCAGTGGTTCCTTTTTCATTCACCTCAATGATGGCCTTGTGCTTCACCTCCGAGATGCGAAGGGGTGTCGAGGCTTGGAGCAGGCTGCCAAGATCCGCCTGGGGAGAGAATAGTTTCCGAATGCCCAGCTGTAAGAATGAGTTCGGTTATAAATTGTCTCTCAAATCAATTTTCCATGAAAAATCTTTGAATTTTTAATGATTTCAGTACTTACCTCCTCCAGAACTGGCTGCAGGGGTACATCGAACTCGAATTTGAATTTTGGAAGTTGCACGTTGACCTTTCGTCTGCTCAACTGGGAACTTATTTCTCCCAAGTCCAGGCTATTCAGCTTCTGTTCGAGGGACGCCAGTCCCTGCTCCTCCTGTGGCAGGATGATCAGGAAGACGATATCCGTGCCTATGTATGGCAATTCCAGGGCTTTGGCCTTCAACTCTGACAGCTCGCCGCACCTAAAGTAATCCGATTGGGACATGGTGTCCACGCTGACCCTTCGACCGCCGTGATTGACAAAGTGGCGGGAAAATGTGGCGTAGTCGGGGAAGCTGCTCAGCCAGTCGGCCTTAAAGTAAATGGCGTTGACCAGAATGGCAGCCGTGCTTTCATCGAGGGAGTCCGGGCCAATGAGGCCCTTGATTTGCTGGTGGGTCTGCTCCTCCACCCAGGAGTTAATGCGCTTGGCCGCCTCTGCACTCCGGGTGAAGTTCACATTCTCGGCCCCTGCTGCGAAGTATTTGCTGACTAGCTCCTGATACACCTTGGCCAGCTGGAACTGCTGAGCCACATAAATCCGATTGGCATACTTCAATTTGGGCCCGAATTCATCTCCATCCCCTGATTGCGTCGGCTGCTGTCCTTTGGCCAGGAGCTGGGCGAAGTGCTGAGCCACCTCAGTTTTGCCAGCTCCCTCCAGGCCCAGTCCTTGCTTCAGCTCGTCGGCGGTGCTGCCTTCGGCGCCCATATAGGCCAGTGCCAAGCCCGTCCTTATGGACGACGGCGAAAGGATGATATTCTGACCTGGCTCAGCCTTGGCCAGTTGGCCATAAAGCTTCGAGGCGAATTTTGCATCGCCCGCAGAGCTCTTGGAGTAGTTAACTGTATTGGCCATGGCCAGAATCAAGACCTGGAGGAGAAAAATGAACAACGTAGCCTTGGCTGCAGGTGGTTGACGTTGAAAATCAACAAAACGGAAATTAATTCACAGCGTTTTTGGTACCAGAACCCTTACTACCTGCCTACCTGACATGATGGAACGAACTGAGCTAAATCCAAAATATGGTTCTCAGAAGAGCTGATTTTTGTTTATCATTTGGACTTCGACAGGTTTCTTTGGGACGTTTTTCCTATTGGTGGTTGATTTTATGCTGTAATTCCCCAGTCCTGCAACAGGTTTTGGCCTTCACCAAAATCTTATTCAAATTCTATAAAAAAAACTATGCACCCACAACAAGATTACTGGAAAAACACAGATTTTACATAGAATAACTTATTAGGAACTATAGTTGTATGTCCACTAACGTTAATATGAAATATTGTCCTGATTTTATATTATATTATATTATTATTATATTTCAAATATATCAGATATATATTTTATATTTTAAGGAACGTGAATTCTATAATAATCACATTTAGAGAATAAAAACTCCATTTGAATGACAAAAAATTCTTTACGGTTCTAAAATTTTAAGTTGTTAGTACACTTTTAAAATTTCGTTTATAATTTTAAAATTCTCTAGTAGTAAAGTTAAAATAATATTCTAATATTATGGAATTTGACGCCTTGTAAGTTATTGATATGGAATTTCCCAATCTCAATTTTCACATACTTGTTTTTGCTAGAGGTTATTCCAATTAAATTGCCATTTATTTATTTCTAACCTTCTAAGCCATATTAAGTCATGATTTATTCAAGTCTTAATTGTAACAGATTAATTGCTAATTAATACAATGAATGAATCATTGGAAGCAAAACATGTTACTATACTTACTACTTACTAAGTACTAATACTGGAGTCAAGGGCTTACTCAGTAATCGTAGTAATAGCAAGCTAACATTAAGTGTAACCCATATAATTGATACATCGAATACATCCCACATTATTTATCAAAGTTTGAAATTCTCTTAAGAGCTCAAATTTTCACCAGAGCTCTCTTATCCGACTCTCTTTCTCTTTACACTCACGCTCCCATAACATACTTTGTCTATTTCGTTCTGCTCTTGGCGCTCTTTTCTATTGTTGACACACGGTGATGTCATTTTGTTTACAAATAAATCAAATTCTCCTTACTCAAATAGTAGTTAAAATAATAAGTAGTTTATATATTTATTTGCTTATATTTATTATCTATTTAAGTTTCTATTTACCCACAAAGTTACTCAAATATTTTGAGGTGATTCCTACTACTTTTTGAGGAAGTATCGTACGGTGCTGGGGCTTCTGCGTTCCACGGAGAACTAAACATTTTAGGGCACAGCTGACGCACTCTGTTTGGGAATGCTAATTAAAAAAGACTCAAATGTTTTCCTAAAATGAGGGCCATCCACTTAACCTATTTCTATGCCTTCAAAGAAAGCCGAGCGAGAGATATACATATGTATCCCAAAATTGTAAGATCTAATTTCACTATTTGAGATTTAAAAACTGTAATTGTTTTAATTGAAAACATTTGGTAAGAAAGGGTCAGATGGTATCAATAATGCAAGTTTTAAGTAATGTTTTCTATTAAAATTTTCAAAATTTAACTTCAGGATTTTACTTCAGTATTTAATATTATTTGTTTATCTACTAAAGTTTCGAAATATTAATTTGTTGACTATATACAAAGAACATATCCTTATAATTTTGCAATTATTATTATTATTATGCAATTGTTTTTGGTTAGATTTTCTATCCAGAACTTAATTTAATGAGTATTACAATTCTTCAGGGATTTACAACCCGTCCCTGAAAATATATAGTATCCTTATCACGAATGACAAATGCAAAGGGATGATTCGCAATGAAGCTCGTGCTGAATCCGGAGCGATTTGTGATGACTGCAGCTATGGATTAGGAAACATAAACACTTAGTATATATATATGTACATAGGTAATTGATAAGCATTTGTGACTTACAAGTGGCTGCCGCGGCCTCTGCACCCTCCTCGTTCACCTCCAGGTAGGCCTTGTGTGCGACTTGGCTGAGTTTTCCGGCAGACTTATCGGCAAACAATCCGCTCAGATCAGCCCTGTCCGAGAAAAGCTCTCGAATACCCAGCTAAAATAGAGTTATTAGACTTTAGAATTTTGTTATTAAAAGAAAACCCACCTTTTCCAGGGTTTCCTTCAACTCGTCGTGGAACTCGATCTTGAACCTGGGCAACACCACAAGCACCTCCTTCGGCATCAACGGCCGCGAGAAGCCAACGATTTTCTCTTCCAGGGCACTCAAGCCTCCCACTTCGTTGGGCAGAAAGATAAACATAGACAGGTTGGAGTTCCGGTACGGCAGCTCAATCACCCGGGCCTCCAGGTCGCGGAAGTAGTTCGTCCTAAAGTTCCCCAACTGCGTCATCATCGGCACGACCACGCTCTTATCGGAGGTCACGTGGAAGTCAGAGCTCCTGGTCTGTTTCGGGTCGAACCCGGACTCCCACTGACCCCTGAAGTAGATGGCATTCAGCAGCACCGCCATCACGTCGGTCGTCATGCTGCTGGGATCAATCATGTCCTTGATCTTGCCATCCGTCTGGCCCAGCACCCACTGGTTGATCCCCGCGGCCGCTGCAGGTCCATTGGCCAGGCTGATAAGCTCGGCTTCGGCCTGGAAAGCCTCTCGCACAACCTGATTGTAGCCCGGGCTCAAGGTGTACTGATCGTTGACGTAGATGCGGTTCGCCAGCTTCAATGTGGGACCCCCCTCTCGGCCCGGTAGGCTGCCGAGGAGAGCCTTGTACCTGCTGGCCACCTCCTGTTTGTCGCCGGATGGCAGTCTCAGAGCACTCTGAATTTCCTGGGCTGTCAATCCACCCGCTCCCATGTAGACCATGCTGAGGGCTGCCTCTATGGAGAGCGGCGAAACAATGAGGTTTTCGTTGGCATGGCTCTTGGCCAGCGCCTGGTAGATCTCCTCGGAGGACTGGCACACCACAAAAGTGACCCACAGAATCAAGCCCACTGCGCAGAAAGATAAACGTGATAACACCATGAGAGGGCTTTACCTCAAGGTTATAACTTTCACACTTAAATATCTATTTTTGACACTTAAATTTAATCAGAATCTATATGACGTTGCATTTATTTCCGGCAGCACTTCTAGTTTTAGCACTCACACAAGTAATTCATTTGACCGCCACCAGCGAACTGGTCCCCGAGAGAAGTAGCAATGTTAACTGAGCTGGATTTGCCAAGACTGGCTTATATATGCATCTTATCTCAGGCGAGATTGCAATTGCGGCTGAGAACGGAGCGTGAAACGCTCTTAGGTGGAAATTAAATGACTCTCGGGATTTCCCAGCTGTTGACACACTTTTATTGGGTCTCTCTGCCTCGTTCCTAAACTATACACTATACACTGACTTATAAGGCATGCGATGAAGCAACATCTCCTACCCCTTCTTCCGAATCTTCCTCGGAGTCCCTCACCGGGGTCACGAATCGGCCGGCAAAGAACACTGCCTGGGCACTGCGAATGTAGAACACAAACGGATGATCCGCCCTGAACTGCCTCTTATTCATATTCAGCATCATGGGCACGATCTTCATAACTGCAAGTGGAGGCGGAAGTCAGAAAGGAAACGAGGGGTAATATCTGGCACTTACAGGTGACGGCTGCCGCTTCTGAGCCAGCCTCATTGACACTAATGTAGCCACGGTGCTTGGCCGCCGAGATCTTCTGTCCTTTCCGAGACGTGAAAAGTCCGTCCAGGAGAGCCTTGTCGCTAAAGACTTCTTCAATGCCAATCTGCAGGTGGAGAAGGTGATGTTGTCAACAGTGATTTATGGGTTATTGTTAACTTTTCTCTCACTTTACGTTTTACGTTTTCTCTCACTCACCTGTTTTAGTATATTCTTAAGGTCCACATCGTACTCAATGGTCATCCTAGGCAGGGAAATTTCCACGTCCTGCATGGTCATCCCCGCATCAATGTCGGCCAAGTCCACTTCCTTTAAACGACTCTCCAGATAGTGCAGACCACATTTATCATTGGGCAGCAGGATGAGCATGTGGACGTTTGAGTAGTCGTACGGCAGCTGCACGGCTCTCGCCTTCAAGTGTGGCAGGTCGGCGAACTTAAACTTATCCTCCTGGTACATCATATCAACCGGAACGCGGTTGGAAAGGTCCACATAGAAGTTCTCTTTCTGTGTGGACTCTGGCATGAAGGGCTTCTGCCAAAGTCCCTTGAAGTACAGAGCGTTGATGAGCACGGCGCTCGTCTCCTCGTTCACTGCGTCCGCCTGCAGCAAGTTACATATTTTGTGCTCCGTCTGCCGCTCCACCCAGTTATTGATCTTCAGCGTTGCTGCTGCCGAGTCGGCAAAATGTGCCGGCTTCGCCTTAGATTGGAAGAAGTCCATGGCCATCTCGTTAAACTCCGGCTTCAGTTCCAGGGCAGCGTTCACGTACAGTCGGTTGACTGACTTCAGGACGGGTCCCCTGGCACCATAGTTGCAGCTCGTCCGCCAGAACTCCCCGAAGGTGCGGGCAATGTGATGCCGGTCACCGGGACCGAGTTGTAGGACATTCCTGAGCTCCTCAGCCGTCGATCCTGAGGCACCCAGGTAGGCCAGCGTCAGGCAACTTTGGACAGATGCAGGGGAGAAAACTGTGTTGACCAGGGGCTCCACACCTCGGGTGAGGACATCCTGGGTTATGGCATCTATAAGAATGCCCGCAAAGAGATTCCTGCTGTCTTGGGGATCACACATTTCAATCTATGAACAAGGGAAATTTGATCATGGATTTGAAATAAATGTACTCGTATTTGTCATTTGTTTATAGTGTGAAAGCTTATTCGGTTAGAGTTTTATATTTCTTATTTGAGAGCAGAAACGTGCGCGAATATTTTGTTTATTAAACTATTTTGTTTTGAAGGTTTCTCTCCGCATAAGGGTATTTCCCTTGACATTCACTTTCCGCACAATAAATTACTTTTTAGCACGCCATAAACGCCAATTAAATGATTAAAAATGCCACGACAAATGATAAGAAACGAAACACAACAAAAAACTCTTGCGGGTGGGTCTGCTCATCTTTTTCCCCGTTTTTCAGTTGTCGTTCAGATATGTCACTATATTCTTTCACTAAAACTCGCTGTGAATCCCTTAAATAGTGGAACTTTAAGTTGTCTATAATTCCAACAGATATTTGTTTACTAATAAAGCGAATCTCCGACCTCATAGTGGCGCTTCTGATAACGATCAAAGATTACTTACACCGGAAAAAACAATCAAATGCTGAGGAGGATCGAGCGTAGATTCAGATTCAAGGTGTCTGCCAGACGGTGCGGAGCTAACTGACACTCGGAACCATCGGCTGTGACTCACAACTGAACGAAAAGCGTCCCGATAAGATAAATTCCAAGAGAGCAGAGCGCCAGGTGCCTTTCGAGGAGAGAGAGCAAAAACTGATTAGCTGGAACAGAAGCACTTCCCCGACGCACAATCCGTCAGGTGGCCTGGCCGATAAACCGATGGCCCTTTCAATTCCAAACAATTATTCTAAGCCAGACAACTGTCATAGAAAATGAGTGTGCCTTGCCCCATCTACCTACAAAAGGAAAATGTGTAGAAGTTCCCAATGAGTCCAAATTGAATGCCGCCACTTCAGTAGCCACCAAAAGATCACTTCCACCATGCAGGACTCGGATTTTGCCAAAGACTTGGAGCACTTCACCTTCCGCCTGCACGATCAGCTTACAAAAGCCAATCCCGACCAGAATGTCGTTTACTCGCCGCTATCCATCCGCACTTCCGGAGGCATGCTGCGGATGGGAGCTACTGCGGAATCACCCACGGCCGATGAGTTGGACGAGGGGCTCCGGTTCAGCTCTGGCGACGTGCAGAGAATAGCATCGAGCTTCGATATCGTTCTTAAGGCCTACGAGCAGTGTGGGATCCTAAAAATGGCCAACCGTATATACGTGATGATGGGTCTCACGCTCAACAAGCAGTTTAACAGCATTTTGGAGAACAACTTCCGCTCTAAGCCCACCGAGATTGACTTCGGCAGTGCCCAAGCGGCCAGCGACATCAATAGCTGGGTAGAGTCCCAGACAAATGAGCTAATCAAAGACCTCATCGGCCCCGATGTCCTATCAACGAACACACGACTGGTGCTAGTCAATGCCATACACTTAAAGGGCGAGTGGGCTGTCAAATTCAATGAAGAATACACCGAACCAGAGGACTTCTTCCTGTTGACGAAAAAAAAGATCACCGTACCCATGATGCATACGAAAAACCAGTTTTTCTTTGGTGACCTACCGAATCTGAATGCCACTGCCCTCAGGATGGACTACACCGCATGCAACCTGGCCATGATCATCCTTCTGCCGAACGAGGATTCCAGTCTGCCAAACCTAGAGAACATGCTGGCTAGCACTTCCCTGTTGTCTATATTGTCGAAGATGTCCCTGAAACAAGTTGATGTGAAAATTCCAAAATTCCGAGCCGAGTTTCAACAGGAGTTAGAAAGTGCATTCAAACTGGTCAGCTAAAATAGATTTCCACTACCTGGTACCCATAGGATACATTGGTATTATAAGGGGAATCTCCATCAAGGTTTCTCCCTAAACTAGTATTTCAGTTCGTAAGCTACCTTTAAAATGATTCTTTCAAATGATTCGGTAGAATGTGTAAATGTAACGTTTACACAAAGTCTAGTATCCCAAACTTAGCATCCTTCCTTGTATTTAAAGACGATCGGAGTAATCCTGGGAGTCTTCAGAAGATGCTCGCTTAACGTCATTTGTCTTTTAGTTTAATGGGTACCGGGTATATTATAGTCGTGCACATTTGACTGTATCTTTCTAATTTGTTTATTTGTACTATCTCCTTACGCATAGATGGGCATGGGTCGTATATTCAGCAATCAGGCAGAGCTCGGAGAAATGATATCTTCTAAGGAGAGCATTTCAGTCTCCAAAATCATACACAAAGCCTTTATTGAAGTCAACGAATTCGGCACCGAGGCAGCCGCCGCAACGGGTGAGTTTCTGTCCTTTTTCTGTTTCGGGTTTAACCTTTCACACCCTTTTCCTAAATCCCCAAACTTTAGCTCTGACAATTACCTTTCGGAGCATGTCAGTTCCAAAGATGTTCCATGCCAACAGACCCTTCTTTTATGGCATCTTCGACAAGGTCCATGGCTTTCTGTTCGTTGGCCGATACATCACTCCGGTAATTGAAAGGGCAAGAAGATGCAAATGTCCTATTGACAAATCCTGCGAAAAGTGCTCTCACTGCAAGCAATGTCTGTCACAAAAAAAGGATTGAACATGATTCCCGGTACAACATACTACTAAGAAAATCTTTGGATACAAAATTACTTGCATTTGTTTTACTTGGCAATAAATACAATAAAATAAGGAGTAAGGCAACCAAGAGAAGAATGAAACGATATAAAGTATATATACAACTAAAATGAGTCATGTTTTCCAAGTGATTATCGAAATACATATGTCTTGAAAACCCTAAAAATAACATTAACTTTATGTAACCAAAATTCGTGTTCTATTTAAGTCCTTGCAACACTGATCTTGATTTAAAATGATCTGTGTATATTGGGTCATTATTTGCAAACTAGAATATGAACATCTTAGCCTTAATTGTCAATACAAACAAACGTTTAATTCTCTTATTGACTTTAGAAATGTTAAATTAAAAAAAAAATGTTTTTATTGATTATAAAATTGATTGTCTCTTATGTACGAAAGCAAAAGCTGAAAGTGCTATAATGTATGGTACGGCAGCAATGTTTGTTATAACTGGGACAGGCTGCTTCATGCTCGGTGCCCTTGCTCAGCAAACTATATCGCATAGAAGAATTAGGAAGGTCATGCTTGCCGATCCATATGTTTTTAAATGTCGCAATAATATCTTTCAGGCAGTAAGTCCCCTAATACTAAGGAACTATATAAATATGTTGTCATTCAATATCTCAGTTAGCATTCCTTGGGATACAAAGGAAGGAACACATAATCACGAGTATCTTTTCAACGGAGACAGTGGATCAAGGAGAAACCAAGGAGACTCAACCAAGTAAAACCAAGTCGCGAGAAGGGGAATCCATTTTTACGAAACTCGGATTGTGGAGTCGTACGCAGGCTAACAAAATGGCAAGTCCAATTAAGAATAGGCAGAACCAAATATGATTGCGTTACCTTAGGTGGAGCTAATGCCCCTTCCCATGGGGCTGATAGATGGTCGAACTTATAAAAGTAAGCACGTTGACGGTATCATGAAGTACGGATTCCCGGGAGTGGATGAAATACATGTGTATAAGAATTTCGTACTTTCCTATGATCGCCGAAATCGGATTCCGCATTGGGTGTGTGAGCACGTCAAAGAAGACTGCTTTAAGAGTGTAGACGAAAAGACTCTTAACAAGCCGAATGAATATATGATGGATAGCAGCATTGCGACAACCTTCAGTCCAAATATGCGGGACTTTCGGAATAGCGACTGGGTCGGAGGTCACATGGCCTCTCCTCACAACTACAAATGCGACTACGAAAGTTTCGCCGAGACATACATGTTCCCCAATATAACACCCATCAGTCGGGATCTCAAGAACCACCTTTGGCGACGTTTGCAGATTTATGTCAGGGAACTGGCGGAAAAGTATGGTTCAGTACACGTGTACACCGGTCCCCTATTCATGCCCCAGAGGATCTCCTTCCGAAACTGGGCGGTCCGCCATCACGTGATGGGAATGAATACCGTCGCAGTACCAACTCACTTCTTTAAAATCATCATATGCGAGCTGCCTGATGATAAAGATGATCTACCCACCATGGAGGGCTTTGTAGTACCCAATGCCGCCGTCGACAAGGAAATGGATCTGCGAGCATTTTTGTCAGACATTCGGGATATTGAGCATTTCGCGGGTCTGAAATTTTATGAGGGGAAGCAAGGAATCCTAGACGAAACACTTGGTAATACACCCATCACCTACGATGCATAAACACAACTGTATATACTAATAAAAATTATAAATATAACAAGAAAGGAAGCTAACTTCGGCTCGCCGAAGTTTATATACCCTTGCAGATAGAACTTCTATGACTAGGAATCCATACAATATAAATTATATATACACTGCGCGTCATCAGATTAGCGCCCTCTGAACATTCTCGGGTAATGTCCAATATTATCCAAACTATCAAGGCTAAAGCCATAAAACTTTTTTTGACAATACTTTTAATAATATTCTTCAAAATAAGATAAGGTACATAATGATAAGTATAACAATAATATTTTATTTATTTGAAAAGAAAATGTATACCAAAAATATGAATTTAATTTTGCGTCATCAGATTAGCGCCTGTAAATTCAATTTTAGTTATCTCGCGTAATTTTTGGCATACAGTTGTGAAATTTGTTGTGCTGATTAATTGAATAATTGTGTATAAACTGAGAATCAAAATGGGTAAAGGAACTGCCCTATCTTTAGAAGAAAAATCTAAGATCGAAGCCTTTAGTGAAAGTGGCTTATATTTACATAAAATGGCTGAAAAAATGGGAAGGCATCGAAAAACTATAGCCAGTTTTCTTAAAAACAAACTAGGCTATGTCAAAAATATGAAAGGCGGTAACAACAGAGTAACAATGAAGTAATACCTGCATTTCATTCACCTTTACATATTATATTTGCAGTTTTACAGTCACAGATTTGCATTGTTCTCCACATCTAACGATCGACCTATACAGTCGTCAGATTTTCATAAAATTTGACACAAAATTTAAGACTGATATAAAATGGCAATACCTCAAACTTGGTGAAAATCTGTTGAAAACTGAAAATGTTATAATTTTTTGATGTCTTAATTTCTCGATCGTTCCTATGGGAGCTATATAATATAGATGTCAGATTTTCATAAAAATACACAAATCATAAAATTGTAGAATTATATGAAATGGCTATATATCAAATTTGACCAAATTCTGTTGAAAATTAAAAATGTAATATTTTTTTTTGTAAAAATTTTCCGATCATTCCTATGGCAGCTATATGATATAGTCGTCCGATCCGGCCCGTTCCGACATATATATGAGTGAGAGTATATAGAAGACTAACTGCAAAGTTTCATTCAGATAGCTTCAAAACTGAGAGACTAGTTGGCATAGAAACGGACAGACGGTCAGACGGACATGGCTAGATCGACTCGGCTGTCGATCCTGATCAAGAATATACTTTATATGGTCGGAGATGCCTCCTTCACTGCGTTGCAAACTTTTGACTGAAATTATAATACCCTGCAAGGGTATAAAAATGGGGAAACTTCTTTTTAGTTGGTTTATCATCTTATTGAGATTAGTACACTTAATGTTAAAATGCTTAATAAATAATATGCAGCAAAGGAATCTTTTAATAATTTCCAATTAATAAAAGTATCTTGCAAAGAAAAATGTATCATAAAACTGTATATAAATATATATTTTTTATGTATCCACGGTTTTATTATCATACAATATAAACAACATTTCTTATGCCTCAGTATTTTCAAATAAAAATTTTGCTAAGCGACCTAAATTTTGAGTTGGTCTAGTTTAAGTTACGAATACTACTTTTGTTTAGGGTTTGGATTTTTTGTGTTCGGGACAGGGCCAGCAGGTGCTTTTCCGACTGGATTCCCATCCTTACTTGGTGGCTTTTTAGGATCATCCTTGGGCTTGGTGTTGGTCACCGGTGGTGGTTTTCCTGCCATGCTGCTGGCTTCATTTTTCTTTACATCTGTAGTGGGGACATCTTTTTTAGCCTTGACTTCTTTTTCAGGCTTAACATCTTTTTGAGTCGTTACTTGTTTTGCAGCCTTGACTTCTTGTCCAGGCTTGACATCTTTTCCAGGCTTGACATCTTTTCCAGGCTTGACTTCTTGTCCAGGCTTGACCTCTTTTCCAGGCTTGACTTCTTGTCCAGGCTTGACATCTTTTCCAGGCTTAACTTCTTTTACAGCCTTGACTTCTTGTCCAGGCTTGACTTCTTGTCCAGGCTTGACATCTTTTCCAGGCTTGCCCTCTTTTCCAGATTTGCCCTCTTCTTCAGGCTTACCATCTTTACCCACCGTTTTATCTTTGGCTGCCTTCTCCATATTCTCCTTGGCCTTGGCCGCCATCATGGCATCACCGACGGGAACATCGTTGATCTCGGAGGCTGGAGTCTTCTTTGGCTTGCCAAAGCACACTTCGGCCAACTTAATATGCTCCAGATTATAGCCGGACACACCGCGTATCTTGGGCTCTAAGTTCTTGGCGGAGACATCAGCATAGAGCTCCTGCAACTCCACCTCCTTGCCCTCTAGGGCCTTCTTGCACTCTTCATCGACATGCTTCTTGATTTTGACATCCAATTCCTTCAGTTCCTCCTCGCACGTTAGGTCCAAGTCAAGGATCTGCTCGCGGAAGGTGTTGATCGGATCATTCGTCTCCCTCGCCTTTTGCACTTCCTCCCTGGAGCGATACGAGATGCCCGGATCGGACATTGAGTGGCCCACATACCGATAGGTGTTCATCTCGAGAACAATGGGTCCGTGCTCCAAGGCATAGTCCAACGCAAACTGGGTGGCAGTGCGAACTGCCAGCACCTGATTTCCATCCACCCATAACCCGGGTATGTACTGGCCCCGCTTATAGTAGTCCGTCATGGCAGAGGAGCGATCCGCCTTCGTGCCCATCCCGTATTGATTATTCTCGCACACGAAGATGGCGGGCAGGCACCAGAGCTTGGCCATATTGAATGCCTCGAACACCTGTCCCTGGTTGGCTGCCCCATCGCCATACAAACTAATACAGACGCCGCCGTCATCCCGATAGCTGTGTGCCAATGCCACGCCGGCGCCAACGGGCACCTGGGCCCCGACAATGCCATTGCCGCCGTAGAAATTGTCACAGTACAAGTGCATGGAGCCACCTTTGCCCCGGCTACACCCACTGCGGAAGCCAAGCAGCTCGGACATCATTTCGTACAGCGAAACTCCCATCATGTAGCTCCAGACATGGCAGCGGTATGCCGTTATCACCGTGTCCTGCTTGCGGAGCCGGGCCCTCATGCCCACGGCCACTGCTTCCTGGCCGCTGTACAGGTGGCAGAAGCCGCGGATCAAGCGCTGCTTGTAGTAGTTGCCGGCAATGGTCTCGAATCGTCGTCCCTCCACCATTTGGATGTACATAGTCAAGGCGTCATCTCGGGACAGTACCACTTCCAATGATGGGCCCGTGTCCAGGTTGTAGCACTTGAACGACTGTCGGAGGCAAGGGTGCTATATCAATATTTCTGAGGCGTAATTACGAAACGCATTCTTGTGCAGCAGGAAAACTACTTCCCCTTTCATATAAAAGTTTCCTCCTTTCGAAAGGATCTAGTCCTACATAATAGACTTACATTTTTCAGGGTCACACAGCTCGACTCGAGGCGTCGGATGGTCCGAAAGGCGACATTCTGGCCAGCAAGGCAATGATCTAATGGCGATCGGACTCCGTTGCACCGCAGCAGTGCACGGAGGTTAAGTGAATTTAACATTGTCCCATATACACTTAAATTTTGGTCAGATAAAATGTAAATATAAAAAAATAGACGACAAGTAATAAAAATGTATCTACGCTTTGGACTATGAGAATGATTTCAGGAAGTATGTTACATAGGAATAGCAATAGGAATATGATAGATTTGACAAAATGCTAATTTCTTTTCGTGGCGCCAAATGGTTATGGTTTGGCGCAATTCAAATCCTTCCCGGAATCTATCAGGTAATTTATTATAAATTATGGTCCTGACTTGCAGAACGTTTTAAATCAAGTTATGGTAACCAAATAATAATATAATTCAGAGCACAAGTTAGTTAACTCTGATGCCGATTGAGAACCTAGAGTTTAATGACAGGATCCTTATCCAGTTTGATAAACAGCAGATGCGGAAATGTTTCTTCTTCCATTGTTTCTTTGAAACTTTCGAACGTTTTAGTACATAAGGAAGGAAAACTGTGGATGTGTATGGGAGATGTAAGGTCGGTCAGTACTCCATCATCAAGGATATACCGGTTGCTGTGATCTTATTCGGTTACTTAATCTGATATTGTTTGTTTATCGTTTTTCTTTTCCCAATTAAGTTTTCAGTAAACTATCAATCCCTCTTCTTGTCAGTCCTAGCGCACATTACCTAGAAGTGTTCGTGATCAACAAGTCAATGAATATTATGTCAGTAATTATATTCAGAAAAACTTGGCATCTAGTATTAACTCGAAAACTTCTATCTTAGGTCTGTTGTGAGGTAGAATCTTTGGTCTTTTTATGAAAAGCATTTTGTTGGGGTTGATAGCTAGTGCGTTCAAATACTACTAGTATAAACCAATAATTATAAAAATATATAATATATATATATAAACCAATAATTTTATCTTTTCGATTATTGAGTTCTTTCCATAAATTATTCCTACTAATTAGCCACATAAGGGGCAAAAAGTCTTCGCCTTGAGGTGTGTCGTTCTTCACAAATAATTGAGGTACAATTTAGTCTAAATTGGATTGTTATTATCCTCATCTTGATTATTGTATCTGTTCACAATTTGTACCTCTGTGGAATTGAGGTAGTCCAGGATGAAGTCTGCCTTCAACGCGTCATCAAAGTCATCAAAGGACGGTGGTCTTTGTGTAATTCCTGATATTGAACGACTTTTCAAGGTAACACAAAACTTGGTCTAGATTTGCTACTGATTTTCTGTCTTTTTTGGATTTGATTATTGAGGATTTTACCAATATTTTATCATTTATCAATAATGAAGGAAATAAAGCTGACCAATACTCTTACGCGTTGAAGTGTGCTAATTCTCGGATTGCGTATAAAGACTACTTTGGATTCCGATCATTAAAGCGGTATGCCGACTTGGCTTAGACTGTCCAATACGTCAAACGAGTCTATAGCCTCCTGAAATTTTAATAATTCCATATTAACAATAACTGAGATAAATAAATGAAAAAATAATTAACTGAACAATTGTGATTAAGGGAGCATTCAAAGCCACCGCTAGCCTTTTAACTTTGTAGCAGTCCAAGTATTAGTTATGGTATTATTGCAATGTTTTTTTTATTTTTTTAATATATTTACATACATATGTATGTTTGTATTGTTGCCTCTTTTGTTAAATATAAATTACTCCAACAGTTTTTAATTATGTTTCCATATTATTACATTTCAATACCAATCTTTTTTATTAAATATAACTAAACAAGAGCTCACAAAATATATATATATAGGAATTTAAAGCATTAGATTTAGTTGGGAAATTGTAATGATTTCTTGTTTTGTCACCTTATCAGTTTGCTGCAAAAATTCCCATTATATTCAAAAACAAACCCATACTCAAGTACGGCTTTGACACGAGCTGATAAGGCAGCACCCAATAGTGATATGTCCGAAGTTAAGACAGTCTGAAACGCACATTTGAAGCACAAGGTTGACTGAGGCTTTATTAAGGATTAATACGACTAAAATAAGGAAAATGGAAAAACCTCTAAAGTTTTGTGGTAAGTACGGGAAGAAAGTACATTGTATTTATACCAAATGCAGTGTTAAGTCAAGTGCGAGCACTCTGCCGGCACACGTAGACTATGAGCAAAGCCAACTGTGTTTATTTTCCCCACACAAATGCTATTCCAACTTGGGTGTATTGTGGGTAGACCGACCCCTACTGTAAATTCAAAGCGACGCTGGGCGAGCAGCGGTTCATGTGATTTCCAACGGAAAGCAAAACAGAGAGCACCGAGAGCACGGAGAGCACGGAGCACTTTGAAATGTTAAGAGAAAGCCCCCGATATGGGAACACAGAAATAAGAGCGAAACCTGTTGTTGTGTGGGGCATAAAAGCCATGGCGCTCGGCGAGAGCATTTAGTGTTTACTCAAACGCCAAATCAGAAAAGTCAAAGCGTCAGCTGCAATAACAAAGGAAAAGAAATCCAATCCGCTGGAGAAAGCATTGTGGGAAGCACTAATTATTGCCGGCTGTAAATCTACATTTCCGATAAGCGAAGCCTAAAATATTCCCGGCGCAACGGCATACCAGAGAGCTATCGTCAACACCACTCGTGGAGGTGACTCATCGGTCCACTGCAATTACATAAATTCATGAAATCAAGCACAACTCACCTGCCGTCCTCTTGGATCCTTTCAGCTTGCTGGCTGCTAGCGCTCATCCTCCTCGCCCTCTCCCCGGTCCCCTTGGTTCGCTCCTCTGACGTCACCATGGCTGACGCTGCCAAGCAAGAGTTCGCCCGCCGGCTGGCCATCTTCTCCATCAATGTGTACGGCAAGCTGTCGGCCCTTAAGTCTGGCGAGAACGTCGTCTTCTCGCCGTTCTCCATTCAGACCTGTGCGGCAATGGCCCGGGTGGGTGCCGAAGGTGAGACGGCCGCCCAGTTGGACAGCGGCCTCGGCCTCGCCTCGAACGATGTGGAGCAGATTGCCCAGGGCTTCCATCAGGTGCTGGCCGCCTACCAGGACAGCCAGATTCTGCGCATCGCCAACAAAATATTCATAATGGACGGCCACCAGTTGCGGCAGGAGTTCGACCAGCTGCTGACCAAGCAGTTCCTCTCGGCGGCGCAGAGCGTTAACTTCGCCAACAGCGCACAGGCCGCAGCGACGATCAACGGGTGGGTGGAGCAGCGGACCAACCATCTCATCAAGGACTTGGTGCCGCCTAGTGCCCTGAATGCCGATTCGCGATTGGTCTTGGTCAATGCCATCCACTTCAAGGGCACTTGGCAGCACCAGTTTCCCAAGCACGGCACCCGGCCGGATACCTTCTACCTGAATGGTGAACGTAGCGTCCAAGTGCCCATGATGAGTGTGAAGGAGCGATTCCGTTATGCCGATCTTCCCGCTCTGGACGCTGCTGCTCTGGAGCTGCCGTATAAGGATTCAGACCTGTCCATGCTGATCATCCTGCCGAACAGCAAAACAGGTCTGCCTGCCCTGGAGGAGAAGCTGCGTTTCACGCCGCTCTCTCAGATTACGCAGGCGCTGCACAAGACCCAGGTGTTGGTCAAACTGCCCAAGTTCAAGGCCGAGTTCCAAGTAGAGCTGTCGGAAGTATTCCAGCAGGTAAGGGGGGCAGAAGAAACCTTAGAAAGATATATATTTACATATGTCCTCCTACTCTTCTCTTCAGCTGGGCATGTCGAAGATGTTCTCCGATGGCGCCGAGTTCGGCAAGATGCTGCAGAGTCCCGAGCCGCTGAAGGTGTCAGCCATCATCCACAAGGCCTTTATCGATGTTAACGAGGAGGGAACCGAGGCTGCTGCTGCCACGGGTAAGTCTTTATGCTTCCTTTTCTATGATATCTCGGTTGCATCCATCATCACGTCTGCATGTCCCATTTGTTCATCCGTGTCTGTGTTCTTCCCATCCCGCAGGAATAGTGGTGCGCCGGAAACGCGCCATTATATCGCTGGAGGAACCTATAGAGTTCCTCGTCGATCATCCATTCACCTATGCCCTTGTCCATCAGGAGGAACTGCCCCTGTTTTGGGGCTCTGTTGTGCGACTAGAGGAGACACCGTTCGACTCCAGCGAGCATGACGAGCTGTGATAGTGTCTCATTTTCAGTCAATATAAATAAAGGCAGCTATTTATATATATTTTTCAAGACGGACATTGTCTGATACTTTGGGACGACCTTTATTGGAGCATAAGCAACAAATTTTCAAGCCATAAAAGCATGCCCGGAAAGCACTTCATAGACAGCATTGAATTAGCCATAGCCATAGCCCATCAAAAACTTCGCCCAGACATTCCCGTATAACAACTATATTTAAATTGCAGCTATGGTTATGTGTTTCGCTACGAGTGTCATTTGCACGCCAGAGGAGCCTATACTATTTCATGTCCAGCATCCCTTCACCTTTTATGTAATTAATAGGGACTCATCCGTACTGTTTACGGGAAAAATATTTACTCTCTAAAGTCAGTAATCCAACATCAACCTTCATCACTGAATTCACAGTGCTCGAATCGTAACGAACTTCATCTAAATTTACAGGTATGGTCATGATGCTCTGCTCGATGCCCATGGCACAGCCGGATCCCAGACATTTCTATGTTGATCATCCATTTAACTACTATATTCTCAACAAGGACTCCGCCGTTCTATTTGCTGGTCACATTCAGAAGCTCTAAGCAATACTGGGTACATTACTAACAACCAATCAACCATATACGTTTCGTGTCTCACATCGCATTTGATTTTCAGGTGTGATCGAAATGCGCATGCTAATGCCGGACTGGGAGCCCACGCTCTTCTATGTCGAGCATCCATTCAGGTTTTACATTGTCAATGTGGACGACACGCTTCTGTTTGCCGGCAGACTCGTAACGCTGCAAACAAACCCAACATAATATGCTTAAGACTGCGCACAATCAAAGATCTTATATTTACACTTTACACTTTTCTACTAACCAAGCATGTAATAAATTAGACCCTCAATAAAGTCAACGCAACTCAGCCATGTTCTACATCGCCTCCACAGGATTCCGGGTGATGCCAGTGGCGGGTTTCAGGCGCCATCACTTCGTTGCCAACCATCCGTTCGTTTACTACGTGAAGTCGCAAATTGATCTCCCGATCTTTGCCGGGCGACACTTGGGCTAAGCAATTAGGAGGTTAAGTTCAATGAAATAAGCAACAAATGAAATGAAAATAAATGGCTGTCACCTAATAGCTGTGATTTCGTCAAGTCCAAGTGATTTAAAGAAATAAAGTTCGAAGCTCATCCAGGCTTGACGGTTTGACACGCATAGCTAAGGCGCTTGAGGCACCGTAGCTGATCAAGCAGAGCAGGCAAATAGTTGTTCTTTAAGTTCTGAGCTCTACACTCGAAAGATGCTCCTCCATTCTCCTCCTCAATTTGGGACTCTGCTCACAATTTTGTTCTCTGTGGCGTATGGGGATTTTTTACCAGGCTCCTTTAATTGTGAGTAAAAAGGAATGCTCCCATTGCTACGGGATAATACAGGAGGAGCTCCATCCCACAGTGTCCCTGTACAGACAGATGCCCGCTCTGTATCAGCTGGATGACTACGATCTCTGTCTGGACAACACCTCTGGCAGCTACTGTTTGGCTTATGTGGAGATTGAGCCCAATGTGAGCTCCACTTTGTGGCACCTTATCGATTCAGTGTCGCGTGACTCAAAGCACCGTTTCCGCCACGATGTTGTCTTCCGGGGCGTGTGTCTGGAGCGCTGTATACGCTCTCTCAACGACACTTCTGCTGGAGCTCTAAAGCGATACGAAGGAAGAGGTGTCCAGGACGAACAGTTGAGCACATACTTCATGCAGGTGCACCGGCGAGCTTCAGACGCAGATGACCGTCGCCTTTATAGTGAACTCGTCAACAATTGCCTAAATCTCGAATTTAGTCAAAAGTTTTCCCTCCAAGTCAGCAGCCAGATCGAGTATTGTGTATCAGCGGATGATCACTTGGAGCTGGGTATGTTCACTTTACAACCAATATTACAGTTCGTTGAGACTATCACGCTATAGTCTATAAAATTATATGATCAAACTAAATGAATTAAAGTAATATATAAATGTAATGGAGCTTATGATATCATTTGAAAATAGTCACGAAGACATCCCCAAATCGATTTACTATTAGATCATTCATATGAAACAAATATTTGAAGCTAAATGGACTGATTCATTGTCTTAACATTAAACGGAGTAGATTGTTGTCCCTGAAGCTTTTGATATTTCAGAAAAATTCATCGCATAAAGTAATTAAAATGTATGGGCGTTATGCCTCTTGTTGCTATAAAATCATTTGTTTACCTCAGCGATACATCCTTTAAAGATATAGATTTTGTCTATACACAGATGCTCTTGATCTGACTGCTTACACTGTCGGGTTTATCATCGTCTTGCTAACGTTGTGCTCATCCATTTATGATTATTGTTTAAGTAATCGCGACCCCTGCCAGCTAGCAGAAAATTTCTATAGGAAGCATTTAAAGACTCGCAGTAAGTAGAGAACCTGTACAGAAACAAGTTGGATTTTTCAAGTAACCTTTCAACATCCAACAGAACAGCAGTTTCTTACATCATTTTCACTTCCTCGGAATTACTACCGACTGGCCAAGCCGCATAACACAGATTTCGCAAATGATTTAAGTTTTTTCGACGGTTTCCGTATAATTGGGGTTTTCATCGTTATCCTGGGCCACGTTCTAATGGTTTTCATGACTACCGCGATTGAGAATCCCGAGTACTACGAGCAGTTCATTTACTCGTTTTGGTCATCAATTACTCAAAACGGCCACGTGGCCATCCAAATATTTTTCGTAATGAGCGGCTTCCTACTTTACGTGGATTTCACTGAACGCCAGCTCGTCAGCCCGAAGTCAGACACTCTACAGTGCATCGCGGTATACTTTCGCTTGTTCTTTTACAGATACTTTAGACTCATCCCGTCAGTTCTCGCCCTGATCCTGTTCAACGGTACAGTTTTGGTTCGCCTGCAGGACGGGCCGTTTTGGCGGCACGTGACCGAACCCGAGCGGGTGTTTTGCCGGACCAATTGGTGGAAGAACGTCTTCTTTGTGACCAACCACATGATGGAGTACAGTGTGCGTTAACAATACTCAAATGTAGAAGTCCTAGCTTCTTTAAGACAATTATTTTCCCATTACTGCTTTAGTGCTCCCACCAGACCTGGTATTTGGGGGCAGATATGCAGCTGTTCGAGCTATTCCTGATCGTGATAATCATTAGCAAAAAGTAAGGAAGACTAACTCCTGCGCCATTTCTCTTCTAACTTCCTTCTTTTCAGACACCCGAGGCTGGTCAAACCCATCTACATAACACTGATGGCACTTGCAGTAGCCGTTCCCGCCATTTTGACCTACGCTCTCAAGTTGGATGCTGTCTACCATACTACTCCGGAGTGGGTTAACGCAAGTTGGAAATAAACATTCCGCTGAAGTAACTCCGACATTTATTACTTCCTAGGACCTACCGCTTCTTGTTCTTCCGGCACTCTGACACCTTTTACCAGATTTACCCGACCTTCTACGCGAATCTTAGTGGATACCTATTTGGTTTCATATGTGGTCACCTCTACCTAAGCCAGCGTTCCAAGGCGACCATTCTTCGGGGACAACTGAAGTATAAGCTGGCCATGTGGCTGCTGATATCAGCAGGGCTGGTAATACTCTCCTCTGGATATATATTTATTTACTTCGACTTCGCCAAGCCTTCGATCTGGCTGGCCGTATATGCAGGACTCTACAAAAACCTGTGGGTGCTAATCTGCGCAGGTTTCGTTTTTCTCATGTCCTGTAAGATGGGAGGTATGTGAAACGATTTGGATTCTTTTTGATATTTGAAAACATTCACCAATATTCAACAGGAATTGCATACAGATTCTGTACTTTGCCTGTGTTCCGACCGCTGGCAAGGACCTCCTTTCAAGCTTATCTGTGGCACGTTGTAGTCCTGCGCGTGGTTACAGGATACTTCAGGCAGCCGAGCCATGTGTCCACCGTATTCTTGGTAAGCGTATTATTTAACCTAATTAACAAAATCTTGAACTTTAATTTAGATTTGCTGCGTGATAAGCGCGTTTGTTGTGTCGCTATTTGTTGCGTTTTTAATGGCCCTGCTGCTGGAATATCCTCTCGGAGAGGTTCTGCGCTGCCTGTTGAAACCCCGTACAAGTATTTAGTAACGTTCGTTTGTTAGTTTTTAACTAATTTCCAAAATTTTTAGGCAAAAATGAGATCAAAACAGAAATTCAAATGGCGAGCGCCCAGTCAGCTGCTTAGAGTGACCGTAATTCGGCGGCAGGGTTGAAGGGCTAAAACGCGTTAAGACATTCACACGGAACCGGCAACACTAAGATTTAAGGCATTCACAGTAAACATCCAGAATTGTGGCGGCACTATTTGAAATTCACACATTTATTTTAAAAGTATATTAAAATTAAGTTTTCCCAGATGATTTATGTGATTGGTCAATAGTTGACTTAAGTAAATTGGAAGTACTTAGGAAAAATAAATAAATGGAGACTAATTAGGAATTTTCTACAGCATCGTCTGCTTTTAACAATAATTAGACTGTGCCTGGAGCAATTGTATCAGATCTGTGGGCCCACAAAGAGGATTTTAAGTATTAACAAAGATAGAAAAAGGAAACTGGGTTAACTTTTCAATCAATTTGTGCCACTCAGAAGAACTTTCTTGGATGGATGAAACTAATAAAAATTATAAGCCTTTAGTAATATTAACCACCTAATTTAACCTTTATTAATTTCAGGCTGTGCCTATTGCATTATTTATTTGCGTTATTGACTCTTGATTATTCGGGAGTTTCCACAAAATCACATACCTAACTTTAATCCGATAACGATAGTATCGATTCGCATAGGTATTGCATGTGTTATCAATGATAAAAAGTATATGAATTCTATCATCTTTTTCTAGTAATATTTAAAAATGATTAAGTTTAATGCTTTACTAGGAATGTTATTTATTTTATAATTGAAAATAAAATCTATCAGTTAAATTCATATGGAGAGCAAAATAATACATGATATATTAATAATTCTAATTTGCACCGATACTCTTTTGTTTATCAAAAGAAATATCCGACATAAAGTAAAATACTTAATAAACAGTCCTTTAGCAAAACTTGGAAAGAAAATTGTAACTCAAGTTCCTTTAGACTGCATTATTAAATTGGATGTCATTCCAAAATTGTTATTTGGAATTGTAAATAATAAAATGAATAATGAACTTATAGTTTCTAAACTAAGTAAGAAAGATTGTCAGAATGTTTCAAATCGACGAGAAGTTACGTCCCAGCCGAGTTTGCTCGAAAGCCAAGGACATTGGATGATTTGCTGCATTGGAAATCCACGAAATTACAGTGTTAAGTTTAAAATTAAAAATAAAATATAAAGCATTCTTTCATAATTCTAAGAAAAATACGTCATGGAAGACAATTTAATAAAGAATATGTTAGAAAAAAATTTGTCTAAAATGTTAATAATTAACTTAACAGTTTGTGTTTAAAGTTTGAATTTGAATATTTTATGGGGTGTACGCAGAGATATGCGGTTGAGTGTATGTGCAGATATTTATTTTTTTTTTAAATTGGCGTCAATGTTAGTGCGTGCAACGTTGTCGATGTCGTCGTCGGCGTCGAAGCCGCCAAAGCCGAATTTAGCCACTTCTACTTTGTGCGCGTGAAGTGAAGAGTGAATCCGCAGTTAGAAAATAAAATTATTGACAAAATGCCTGCAGGTAGACCTCCCTCAATTGCCAATGGCTTAATTATTGACGCCGTTATGAAATATAAATGTGATTTAATGGACTTAAATGGAAATATTGTTCCACCCAGTAATACAGTTTGGAGGAATGTCAGCATGAAGCTAGAAAACAAAGTTCAATCGGCCACTATAATTCATACGTGATTAACAATCGTTCTGACCTGAAAATGTTAATAAGTGGAAAAGTGTCGTCTCCCAGCAAAATGATTAACACGAATGGCGAGTTCTCGGAAAACGAATCTGATGATTCCGACTTTGAAAATGAAAGCTTCCGATTTTAATGACTTTTACCAAGTCAGAGTTCGATCAGCTTATTATGGAAACTTCAAAGAAGTACAAGGACAATAAAGGTGCTGTTCGCCAAAGGGTTTTAAATATCCTGCATCCTCAAAAATGGACTGAACTTTTTGCTTTTTTGCTTTTTTATCAACTCTGACAAGGCGACAAGAAAATTTCAAGGTATGTACTACATACATATGTACATTCATACATATGTATGTTTAAAACCAAAAGCTTACAAAAAATGAACCCCTCTTGCAAATCATTTTTTAAATTTTTTTTTAACTTTTAATATATGTATGTATATACATATTTACATACGTAAATATGAACATATTACATACATACATACATAAATGCGAAGTCGAAAACACATAAATACATGCATATGTACATACAAGCTAGAGAATTGCAGCAAGAAACCGCGAAATGCAGGTAATTTTTTATGCATACAATTCTAATAAGTGCGAGCCAGACGGTCTAAGAAGGGTGAAAAGAAACACATAAAACAAATTTACCTCGTGCATCTTTATTTTTCTTTGATTAACGAAATCAGTTTCTTAATTTATATAATAATAACGAAGTTTATAGTAAATATTATATATTAAAATATTTAAAATTACATACATATATCAAAAATTATATAAAACAACAAAGGAAGGCAACTTCGGCACGCCGAAGTTTATATACTAGACTCCTGCATGAATGTATCCAAAACGGCTAATGAATCACTCAGTCTAAAAGTGGGCACACTTTTTTTACTACACAGTATATTTGGGCGTGAGTGAGTAGGGTAGTATTGTCGGTTTCGATTGACAGTGTTCTCACTCATTTCATAGTTGTACAGCTGTTGACGAGTTCATCGAAATTGGTGTACAGTAGCAAGGCACTGTACAGTGTTTTGGTGTGCAGTTGACTTACTGTACAGTGAGTGAATCTTCATGACTGGTACATACACACATATAGAGTTCTCGTGTTTATGTATGTCATAGAAAGAATGATTTGTATTTTCGTTTTAAATGTATTTATTATAAAATAAAGAAATTAGAAATTTAGAAAATAATAATACTTGACATAACATAATAAAATTATTATATCCATTTTTATAACAGAATTTATATTTAAATTATTAATATTAAAATGGAGGAACATTATTTTATTAACTAAGTCTTCAGTGGTGGCAATTTTAGACCGCTTTTCACAAATTAAATTCTTGGCAACAGAAAATGCCCTTTCCGTTGCTGCACTGCTCGCGGGAGCTGCTAGTATCTTGCAGCTTATTTGATACAGCAAAGGAAAACGGTCTTTATTAACTGACCACCACTGCAGAACATCAATATCTTCAGTGTAAGCTTTGTTTATATTTTTATATGTCAGAAGTTCATCCTGAATATATTGCAAAATATTAGTATCCTGAACAGGTTCCGAATAATCGGCAAATATATTATCTATGACTTGTTCTGGTTTAATTAATTTTTCTATATCATCATTTTGGTTATTTATATGAATATTATTCATCATTTCTTCTACGTCTTTAAAAGTTTGTTGCTTTTCTATTTCTGAGAATTTAGCTAATTTGTTAGTGGGTGGAAACAAAAACAGGGCAATATTGTGATATTTTTTAAATTTTCAATGACTATTGAATTTTTAACTATTTCTATGTCATTTTCATTTGGTGAGGATATTTTTTAAGTTGTTAATATGTGGAACAGTCAAGTGCAATGTTGGATAATTACTACCCTCCAGCTTTTTGGAGCAACATTCAAAAGGGGCAATAAGGTTCACCATTCCGCTAATATTAATTAAATTAATATCTGTAATTCTTGCTAATTCATTTTTCTCCACCAAGATCTGCGAAATTTCCATCCAATTTAGCTCAACAGACTTCAATAGGTTAAATATTGTATTCCAACGAGTTGGACAGTAGCTTTTTAGGGTGCTTGTTAAGTTCCAGTTTTGTCCAGATTTTTAAAAATATTTAACCAGCTTGCTGCATCGATTAACCATATTCTGCAATTCTGGTACTTCATTCACAAGTGATTTGCACAGTGTATTGTGCTCAGTCCGTTGAATGCTGCTTTCATATTAGCTCCTCGGTCCGTAACATTTATTGGATCGTCCATCAGTAAATCACATCCAAAGTCACGTAAGATTATTAAAGTGAAAATCATAGAGCGCACTGATGTTTTGCGATATAGTTGTGGGATGCGGCAGTAAAGAGTCAATATTGACGTTTTCCCCCAGTTTGGCACCGACAGAAATAAAAAAAACTGTGCTAAGTTTTTTAAACCAGTGTCCGCAATTAGATTAAACGGTCGGCCATTCTTTATTGTCCACTCCGTTGACAAATTGGTGCATTTCTTTTTAGTTTCAGAGGGCACATCAACGACAGGAAGACTGCTCTTTCGGCTATTGGCCATAATGTAGCATTTGTGTTTGACTAAATTTGATGTACTTTTTTCAAATTTATAAATGTTTTTGCATATGTTGCACACTACTGCATCAGTCGTCACTATGGCGTTTGCATTAACCAGTCGTGAAAAGGTGTCCCACACTTTGCTCCGACCACGTGAATCAGCAGGCTTAAGCTCACCAGCTAATAATTTAAATTTTATTGCGACAGCGTACTCCTTAAAAGGCAATTCAATTGTTGTTTCCAGTGTCTGATTGAAAACAATTTTGTTTTAATATACATGTATACAAAACTTATACAACAAATGAACATACAAATACATACATATACATATTTAACTATCGCGTTTTTGGCTTGGGCTCTGGCACTAAATAACCTCAAACATACAAAAGACAATCACAAACATATAAAGCAACACATATACTTAGTTACAAAACATATATATTATCACAAAAACTTAAATTTTCTTATGAGTTCATTGCACGAGCGTCGTTTTCTTTGCAATTCATGTTTATGCACTTGTTAAAAAATACTGCACTCATATGACAGGTGTACACAGTCAACTAGCAAGCTGTACAGCTGTTTAAAAAGAGACAAATATAGTACTCACTTACGAAAAGTACAACCATATACTGCTCTCACTGGGAGTGGGTACACTAAAAATGTTGTGCTATATTTTTCTGGCCTACTGAGAATACTGTACAGTAAGAAATGAGTGCAGTATTTTTCAGAACACTACACTACTGTACAGTACTGTTGTGCTGCAAATGAATACATTCATGCAGAAGTCTAATTTCAAACATTCTGATATTCTTTCTTACTTAGCTTAGAAACTTTAACACCCAATTCAATATTGCAATATTTCTTCCCGAGTTTTTCTAAAGTGGACTGTTTTTTAAGTATTTTACTTTATGACTGACGGTTCACAAGTTTTAATCTGAAATAAATTCACCACGTTCTGTGCCGAATGTCAATAAAGCTTTTACTTTTTTTCTTACTTTGCTGTAGCCAAAACAAAATCAAATTCAAACTTTAAAGTTAAACTGTGCAGGTTTTC